AAAAAAAAAAAAAAAAAAAAAAAAAAAAAGAACATAAAGTTCTTCTAGGTAGAGTCCAAGTGTTAAAATTGTATAATCTGTAAATGACTTACACAGATTGAACATGTAATAAGGCCAAATAAATATTGGATAATTTAACTACTTCTCTAGTATTTTTGAATTTTACTTAAAGAACCCTTCCACCTCTCTTTCTCCTATAGATTTCAGAACTTTAGACTTTAACAAATATAATTATTATCCTGTTCCATAAAGTCTATGCATAGAAACTTAGATCAATTCTAAATAGAATTATTATTGAATGTTTTGTTTTTCAGTTACTGTCCTAGTCTTTTAGCTTTGAAAAGGATGACACTGGATGATTAGACTTGAATTGTTAACTTCCTCCAATGGTATTGTTGGAGATGAAGCTAAAATGTCAGAGTTTTATAGAGAAACAGGAGAGTTGGTGATTGTACCCAAACTTTCCTAGCTTTTGTTATTAGGAAGAGAAAAAGGTAGTTTTAACTGTGGTCAGTAAATTTCTTTACGTTTATTGCTTTTAAATTAAGTTAAGGAGGTCAGCAATAGTAAGTAGAATAAGAGAATAAAATGATTCATTATTATGAAGAAGAATGGTGAAGTCTTAGCATGTGACATTGTGTTTCACATATTGAAATTGACATTAGGTAAATTTAGTAATTTATTTTTTTAAATATTTGTTCTCTTTTATGATAAAGCCACAAGTTGCTCACTATTCCTTGTGCAATCCAGTGTGAAGTTGGTTTTTTTTTTTTAAGGTTTTATTTATTTGAGAGAAAGAGTGAGAGAGTGAGAGAGAGTGTGAGGAGCTCGCATGTGAGTGGGGGGAGGGGCAGAGGGAGAGCGAGAAGCAGATTCCCTGCTGAACAAGGAGCCCCATGTTGGCAGATGCTTAACAGATTAAGCCACTTAGGTGCCCCTGGTTATGAAGTTTTTGAGTGATTTTGTGTATTTCCATAAGAATTAGAGTGGATTCAAGATGACCACTAATAATCACTGTCACTCACTTTGTTGGGGGGGGTTGTATCTAAAAGAGACAGTTATAGCTAATTTATCTGGAATTGTGTAAAATCCTTTAGTTTCCATGAGAGTATATCTTGCATATTTGTTGTGTGTTATGCCTACATAGTTCTCATTTGGATTTAAACTTTAGTGGGCTCTCAGGGAACTTATTTTCATTCTAACCCATGTTATATTACTTTGAATTATATATTAAGAAAAAGCGTTAGAGATTATTTGTTAAAGCAGTATAACAAAAAAGGGATAAGAGGTTAGTTTCTGGAATCAACTGACCTGGAATCACACTCCACCTCCTCCAGCTGAGTTGTGAGATCTTTGACAAATTTTCCAACTTCCCTAACATTGGTTATCACATCTGTCAAATAGAGATAATAATACTTAATAGAGAGACGACTGGGTGGCTCAGTTCGTTAAGCATCTGCCTTCAGCCCAGGTCATGATCCCAGGGTCCTAGGGTCGAGTCCTACATTGGGTTCCTTGTTCAGTGGAGAGCCTGCTTCTCCTTCTGCCTGTCGCTCCCCCTGCTTGTGCTCTGTCTGTCTCTCTCTGACAAATAAATAACATATTTAAAAAAATAAAACTTAATAAAGTGTTATTAGATTAAATGAGAATATATATGAAGTCATTAGCATAATGCCTGTTGTGTAGTTAGCATACAACTAGTAAACATCATGATCACTGTAGTTATTATTGCAATTCCAGTTAAGAAAATTAAAATCTAAAACCTATATTGAGGGCGCCTGGGTGGCTCAGTGGGTTAGGCCACTGCCTTCGGCTCGGGTCATGATCTCAGGGGTCCTGGGATCGAGTCCTGCATCGGGTTCTCTGCTCGGCGGAGATCCTGCTTCCCTCTCTTTCTCTCTGCCTGCCTCTCCATCTACTTGTGATCTCTCTCTGTCAAATAAATAAATAAAACCTTTAAAAAAAAAAACAAAAAAACCTATATTGAAACCTAAGATTTTGTGGATATCATAGTTTTGACAATTTTGTACAACATAAGTAATTACTTCTGTGTCAGAGATTTTTAACTAACTTGTATCAGCAACTTGAATGTATTACTAATAACAACACAATTGCCAAGTAGGGTATATCCCAGGAATGCAGAGTTGGTTTGAAAATCAATCAGTATAATCTACCATGGTAACCATATGAGAAAACTCATGTGATTACTTCAGTAAATTCAGAAAAACCAATTGACAAAAATTCTGTACCCATTCATGATTTAAACAAACCTCAGAAAACTGGGAATAGGATAAGGGAGCTTCTTCAACTGATGATCATTTAAGAAAAACCCACAACAAATTCATAATGGTAAAATATTGAGTGCTTTACCCCTAAGATTAGGAATAAGGCAGCAATGCCCTTGCTTGCTACTTCTGGTCAGCAATGTAACTGGTTGTCCTAGCCTTTGAAATAGGGCAAGAAGTAGAACAAAAACAAAACAAAAAGGCATATAGTTTGGAAGAGAAGAAATAAAAATGTTTCTATTTACAAATTGCAAGACTGTGTAAAAAGTCTTAGGTAATCTGCCAAATAACCATTAGTAACAGGATTTAGCAAAGTAAAAAGATACAAGGTGAATATATAAAAATCAATTGTTTTTTTTTTTTTTAAGATTTTATTTATTTATTTATTTGACAGATAGAGATCACAAGTAGACAGAGAGGCATGCAGAGAGAGAGGAGGAAGCAGGCTCCCTGCTGAGCAGAGAGCCCCATATGGGGCTCCATCCCAGGACCCTGGGATCATGACCCAAGCTGAAGGCAGAGATTTTAACCCACTGAGCCACCCATGTGCTCCAAAGTCAATTGTATTTTTATATACTATCAGCAAACAATTGGGAAATGAATTTTTTTACTTTTACTTAGAATATTTCTAAAACCCAACGTGGGGCTTGAACTCACAACCCCAGTCGGTGGTATTCTCCACTGACTGAGCCAGCTAGGTGCCCTCACACAGTATTTTTAAGTAAACTTTATCCTCCTAAAACAAACTAATCCCTAGTACACAGGGAGTCTCAATTTATTTCCTTCTTTCAGGCTTTCAGTACAACTTCGTAATAGTCTATTAACTTAAGATCTCATTTTAACAAAGATAAGTCATTTGCACTAAATCCTGCATTAATTTTAGGGTATAGTTTTCATATCTTCTTTTTTTTTTAAATAAACTTTATTGAGGTTTATTTAGGTACAATAAACTACATCCATTAAAGTATAAAAGTTGGTAAATTTTGACACATGTATATATTTGTCAAAACCACAATCTTGATCAAGATACAGAACATCTCCATTACTACCAAAAGATCCTCTCCTCTGCCCCCAGTACCTCAACCACTGATCTACTTTCTGTCACTAGACAAATCTGGACTTTTCTAGTTTTATATAAATGGCACTGTCCAGTATACAGTCATTTAAAACCCACGAAATACTTGGGAATAAATGTGACAAAATGCATAAAATCTCTTTACTGAAAACTACAGTACATACCTGAGGGAAATTAAAGACCTAACTATAAGGAGAGTTGGGGCGCCTGAGTGGCTCAGTGGCTTAATAAGCCTCTGCCTTCGGCTCAGGTCATGATCTCAGGGTCCTGGGATCGAGTCTCACCTCGGGCTCTCTGCTCAGCGGGGAGCCTGCTCCCCCCCCCCTTCTCTGCCTGCCTCTCAGCCTACCTGTGATCTCTCTGTCAAATAAATAAAATCTTTAAAAAAAAACCCACGTTGGGTGTAGAGATTGCCTAAAAAGAAAAAAAACAGGGACATGTGGGTGGCTCAGTTGGTTAAGCATCTGCCTTTTGCTCAGGTCATGATTCCAGAGTCCTGAAATCAAGTCCCTCATCAGGCTCCTTGCTTCGAGGGGAGCCAGCTTCTCCCTCTGCCTGCTGCTTCCCCTGCTTGTGCGTGCGCTCTCTCTCTCTGACAAATAAATAAGTAATAAAATAAAACATTGCCTGGAGTTGAAATGCCTTTTAAAAGTGTGCTTTAGGGAAAGAAATATTTGCCCTTTACTGCTAGCTTTAGTATGTGGGTGTGTTTTTAGTCATCGTTTTATTTAACTGCAAATCACAGAAAAAGAAAGAATAGTGAGCAAAGGATATGATGTTTATGGATAATTTATAAATAAATACATTTAAATGGTTGATAAACATGTGAACTTGTATGAACAGAGGTAATTTGTTGCTATGTTTTTCCTGATAGCAAAGAAAAAATAACTGCAATGTTTAATAGCAGGTTAGGTGAATTATATTATCTCTGTGATGGAGAGTCTGAAAATTATAGAAGAATATTTGTTGTTATGAGAAAAATTTAGTAGTTTGTTACAAAATTCAAAAGATTACAGGGTTGTATAATACAAGTAATTCTAAAATAGTTTGTTTAAATATTTGAGATGTTAAGATACATACCAAAATTTTAAATAGTTGTTTTTGGCACTCTAAGAGATTTGTTTCTATTTTGTGGTAGTTATTGGTTTTTTATTTTTTATTTTATTTTTATTTATTTTTTCTTTTTTTATTTTATGTTTTGTAGTCTTTTTAAGATTATTATTTTTTAAATTTTTAGGTCCCATGCCCAGCATGGGACTTGGACTTATGATTCCCAGATCAAGGTGCACTTGTGCTCTTTAGTTTTTAAAAAAATCTTTTGCATTGAATTATAACATAGTATCTTTGATTTAGAGAAATCTTTAAGAACAGTTTGAAGATTAGCTGAAGGTTGATAATTGTTGCTATGTGGGTATTCATTATGCTGTTCCACACTGTATAATAAAAATTTGTCCACAAAAGATGCAAAGCTAATTATCACTTCTAACTGCTGGCTGATTTAGATTTACCTTCCAAACAGGAAGAGATTTTGAATTTTGACACAAAGATCTGTTGATACCCATTGATGATCCATTAATGGTCTGGCGTCTTTTTAGGCTTTTTGAAACAGGTAATGAATTCTGTCTGCTGACAGCCAGCAATACTCTGATTCCTGGATGAGTTGTAGCTGATTGGATATTGGTAGTACTACTGTTGGTTAACTCATTTATAATAGAATTACATACATTTGTAGATTTTATTTTATTTATTCTTTTAAATAGGTAATAAAATAACATGGTATAGAGTTTTAAAAGGTATATATCATAAAGTCTTCTTCCTATTCCTAATTCTGGGCCGCCAGTTGCCTGCCATAAGGATGTTAAAGCCTACCATGAAAGGGCACCAGGAACATATCTATGGTCAGAAAATAAGTTCTCATTGATTTAGCTTGCTACAGCAGGGAATAGCACACACCAGAATAACTGTGGGGCATTTCAGAAGGGGAGAGTTAGCAAAGAAGATATACAAGGTTTTAGGAGCTGGAGTTAGTCACGGAGTGATTTTAGGGTAGAAATTAGTAGTTTGGGTAGGAATTGGCTAGAATCTGTAATTTAGGTGAGTTGATGGAATAGTGAGTGGCTTTATTTTTAGAACACATGAGTCCCTCAGGAGTTACAGTTGTATCAGTGTGTCTTGATATTGGAATATAATGAGCTAATGTTTGAAAAGATTTGAGCTTGGGTAGTATGTAATGCACATTGTGGTTTGGTTTGGTTCAGTTTATCTGTTCTATAAATCATAGTGTTTTTCTGAGTGTTCGTGAGCAATTTGTGGTTTCTCTTTCAATCCTCAGTCTCTGCTTTTGATCATTTGTTAATGATGTTGAGAGACTTAACATTTAGGGGAAGTGATCAGTCAGGATCTGTATCATTGTTAGATAGGTTGTGAATGTTTATCAAGCTTTTGATGGTAGTAATTTTGACCTTTATAAGCACCAGGCCACTTTGTTCTGTTTCTTAGATTTGTTAAATCATCTAACATGATAATATGTGACTGTAGCATTTAAAACCTGGAGATCACACACATATGGCATTTACAACAAAACTTCAAACAAGAGTTACTATTAAAGTTTGAAATAATGTTCTATGTATTCCATATCTGTTTGGATCTTCCTTTATTAACCAAGTCATTTTTTCCCCTTTAGTTTTGGATATGGATTGTTCACCTTGTCAGTGTGTGAAGAATTTAGTCCTATATATGGTGATTGTCAGAGATAAAGGTCTTGGTAGTACTAAGAATAAAGGACAGGGTGTTTACTGACATCTGGAATCTTGAACTAGCAGAGAGAGAAAATAACCGAGAAAATAAAGGGCAAAATCATGCAAAGTACATGGTAATCTGTGGCTTCTAGCATCTCAGAGGTTGTGTTCTGATGATCTTAAAAGTAAGTAGTCTAGGGGCGTCTGGGTGGCTCAGTCGTTAATCGTCTGTGTTTGGCTCAGGTTATGATCCTAGGGTCCTGCGATCAAGCCCAGCATTGGGCTCCTGGCTCTGCAGGAAGCCTGCTTCTCCCTCTTCCACTTCCCCTGTTGTGTTCTCTGTCTTACTGTCTCTCTCTGTCAAATCTTAAAAAAAAAAAAAAAAAAAAAAGGAAATAGTCTATTTACATTGTCTTCTGCTTTTGGACCAAAACAGTTCGGGAAATTCAGACTCAGTCACAATGTCTGAACATGGCAATGATGTCAACAATACATGTAATTTATTTTCTGTAGTATCAATAGTTATGCTACCTTTACAGAAGTTCTTTTGATAGGTCTCCACAAAGTTCAGTTGCTGATCTTTAGATTACAGTTGTCCGCTTCAGGTGAATGTAAGGAAGAAACAGAAATTACTTGTGGATGCTGAGTCTGGGCTTCAGTTTATTTGTTATATTAACCAGCATTGTCAGAATGGAAGAGAGTGGAATCTTCTACTAAAGTACATAATCAGTTTTATAAAGAGTTAGTCACTGATTATCCTGAAAGTAAGAATATGCTGTGACCAAGGGAAATTGACAAATCTTCAGGCCATGGGTTTATCCTATAAAATGTATTACGAATTTCACCAGTACAAGCTTATTTAAGCCTAGAGAAAAAATCTTTTTGTAGACAGCTGTTGTGTTAGTCTTTGTGTATGAATATTTGTTTCCTTTAACCTGAAAGATACACAAACATTGTAGCATATTTACTTTTAACATATTTAATTTACACATGATAAATTTACGAAGACTGAACTTTTTTTATCAGGTAGTTTTTTTTTTTAACCCAATTTTAATAAAGGAGAAAGCTCAATATTTTTGAATTAATGAAAAGTTGGAGGATGCCAAACAAAGCTGCTAATTTCTGTAATCCTTTAAAAACATTTTATTAATTAATTTATTTATTTTAAAGATTTTATTTATTTGAGAGAAGAGAGAGAGCACAAGCAGGGGGAGTGGCAGAGGAAGAAGGGGAAGCAGACTTCCCACTGAGCAGGAAGCCCAATGTGGGTCTCCATCCCACAACCTTGGGATCATGACCTGAGCCAAAGGCACATGCTTAACCAACTAGCCACCCAGGCTTGTTTTTAGAAACATTTTTAATAATCTTTATGTTGCCTAATGATCATTTATAAACCCCAAAATATTGTAGGTATGAGAAATAGCTTAATAGTTTTATTATTCTGAATTTAGAGAAGAACAAATTCAAAAGGAATTGTCATTTGACAAAATGTAAGTCATAACTATCCAAACAAATAGTTACAGGCAGTATCTTTATTTAATTTTTTTAGATAATATTTTTAAAAATTTTAAGTAATCTCTACCTCCAACTGGTGCTCAAACTCGAATCCCCAAGATCAAGAGTCGAATGCTCGCTGACTGAGCCAGCCAGGTGTTCCCAGGCAGTATCTTTAAAAACAGTGATTATTAAGAATGTTGACTTTTCCCCAAAAGTAAAGAACTTAAAAAACAAAAGATTTATGAGTGTTTCAAAAAGCACAGAGAGGGGCACCTGGGTGGCTCAGTCGGTTAAGCGGTTTAGCTCAGGTCATGATCCCAGGGTCGTGGGATTGATCCCCACATTAGGCTCTCTGTTCAGCTGAGAGCCTGCTTCTCCCTCTGCCTCTGCCTGCTGCTCCCCCTGCTTGGGCTCTCACTCTCTCTCTCTCAAATAAATAAATAAAATCTTAAGAAAAAAAAAAGCATAGAATGTTAACAGAATATTTTGATGATTTAAGGGATGTGTTATCCAGGCACAAAATAGCTTTTGCTTTTTTTTTTTTTTTTTTTTTTTTTTAGATTTTTTTTATTTGTCAGAGAGGGAGAGAGAGCGAGCGAGCACAGGCAGACAGAATGGCAGGCAGAGGCAGAGGGAGAAGCAGGCTCCCCGCCGAGCAAGGAGCCCGATGTGGGACTCGATCCCAGGACGCTAGGATCATGACCTGAGCCGAAGGCAGCTGCTTAACCAACTGAGCCACCCAGGCGTCCCAGCTTTTGCTTTTTTTGACAAAAAGGAAATTAAATTCTAGTTTTACTCCATTT